TTTTGCAGATTTGGAACCCGGATTTGAGATCAGCGTTCGATACTACCTACGTCGGTATACATCTCATCTTAAGTGGGCACTGCGACCTGGTATCCTTTCCTTGTTAGCCCCACCCGACCCCGCGCAAGCTCGGACCGAATCAGAAAGTTTGTCTTATTTCTTTTACTAGATATAACCACTTTCCCGCGTTCTACAACGTTTCTGAACAGAGTTATGATTGTTTGGTCGAAGCTCCGCCCATTTTAGTGCAAATCTCGCTCACTTTAGGGATTAGAACCCATTTGCTCCATTTCCTCTGACCACTTTTTTATGCATTCTAGAACGTTTATGAACGAAGTCATACTCGTTTCTTATAAGTAGCTTTCATTTCAACGCAGGCCCCGCCCATCCTTGGCGGAACTCCGCTAAGTCTGCGCATGCCCAGCATGGAGGCCTTGCTTACTCTTTTGAATTTTTCCCTCGCCTTAACGCCTTCGTTAAATCGAGTTGTGAACCTGTGTGGAAAGTACCGCCGAGTGAGGACGCTCCCCCACCACTGATTAGTCTCCTTAATTTTAACTGTTGATCAATCCCTCACCTTTAGTCATTTTTCTCGGTGTCTGGGCTGCTATGAGACCGAATGAGAAGGATTTGCCCATGGTACCACCCAATTCCGGCACATGCTCCGCCCCTTGAATTCGGAGCTTGCTAGGCTCACATGTGCTCTGTTGTTCTCATCCTATGCTCAACCCATTGCAAACTTGACCCGACCTCTCCAGGTGTTTCTTCAAGTAGTATCCGATTTCGTGACGGGCGGGCAGACAGACGCGAGTGCTTTATATATAGTAAAGATAGTGTGACCGAAGGGAACGGCTTGACGTGAACAGAGAGAAATACTGGCTGAGTTCTCCATGTTACTCACACTAATCCAATGGCAATACGTAGTTCCACGTCTCTTTCGTTCGCGATGCATTTGGGAGTCTTTTGGTGGACGGTTACGTAATCAGGTAGATCACATCAGCTTTAATTAAAAGGTTTTGCCTGGTCGCTGTTGTTCCGAAGTCCCACTTTGGCGCGGACCTTCGTTTTTTAGCGTCGGGAGAGGAAGTTCAAGATGGGAGCCTCGAGACCGTCATCCGGCTGAGACCACTTCGCTTCCTTCGCAAAATTGGTAAGAGTCCTTCATCGACAGCCAACACCGTTGAGGTATATAATCGGCTCGTTGAACATCTTCACGGTAGTGTGTACAAAATAAAAGTCAGGCCCCTTGGAACAAGAACTCTTGTAGTACTGCGAGCCACAATGATTTTAGATCAGGTCGCTAACAACATGAGCAAGGAATATCCTGAAATCGGAAATCAAGACGTACTTAGATGAATGAACACGGTTAAAAAATACATGCGCAAAAATTGCTTTAGAGCTCAAAAGATTTTAGCTGTCTCGCAAATTGTCCTAATGACCGCAGAGGCAATGTTTAAAATCAACCCTCTTTTTCTTCGACTCTGGCACTTAGAGAAAGGTTTTTTAGAATTAGATGTGGTTAGCTTATTAGCTGTGTGCATGATTGTCGGTGTGTGTGTGTCAGTGTGTGTCGTTGTGGGTGTGTGTCGTTGTGGGTGGGTGTGGTTGTGGGTCGGTATGTATCCCTATTTGTTGGTATATATATATATATATATATATATATATATATAGTATTTGGCTGAATTCTGGCGATTGATAACAAGACTATTTCCGCACAAACGTCTCGTATCGGAACCAAATCAATCTGACTCCACTTGATCAAGGCTACCGGAAAGACAGTTTTGCCGAAGCGTTACTTGTGTGTTGTTTTGTTATATCTGAGAGGTTCAGTCAAATATTATATGAGGAAGTCAGACCCTGCAAATACCGGCACTATTTACCCTTTGCTGCCCCACTCTGTCGAGAAAGGGCTGGATTTCTATCGAATTTTTTCAAAGAAGATGAAACCGGCTAAAAACTTGCCTAGAGGGGTAATTTGACCCGTAGAACACGAATACNATATTCGTGTTCTACGGGTCAAATTACCCCTGTAGGAAAGTTTCTAGCCGGTTTCACCTTCTTTAAAAAAAAATACGGTAGAAATCCAGCCCATTCCCGACAAGGTGGGGCAGTAAAGGGTAAATAGTGCCCAAATACCTTCTAAGCCACCGCTTTGCACTTGCAGCTAACCTCGTTATCGTACTTGCACGCAGTCCTCACTATCGTTGAAGTTTTCAAAAGCTCCACCTGTATTTCAGACGATGTCCGTTTTGCAAGTAAGTGGAACAATCAAGAATACAAGAATACATGTTCTCATGATAAGGTACAAGTTGGGCTCCGCACACTAACGCGTGCGTCACAAAAAAAAAGAGCGCGTCAAATTTGGATGATATTTTTGCGGAACATCACCCCCACCCCCCGAGAGTATCGCTGTAGGTTGTGGTAGGTCATGAATTTTGCGACCAATTCAAGAACACCCTGCTCACCGCGGATGAATCTCCTTCGCCAGTTTATTGACCTACTCCTAATCTTGGCCCATTTTTCACGGTAGGTTGGCTTTTTGGAACTAAATTTTTTGTTCACCGCACCGCACATTCCGGTAAATATCTGCGGGGTTTCCTTGAGCTCATGTGTACTCTATTGATCTTGCACGAGGTCCCAGCCATTCTTTCGATAATACTGAATTTCGGGACAGGTAGACAGACAGTAAGTAATTCCTTAAACCAGGGAAGGGTTTCAACTTCCCATAGAATTTTGAATGGAGACCCAGGTATATCGATAAGGCTTTGAAAGTTAATAAGAAATACGGAAATCAAAACTGCAAAATGGATCTACCAAAAAAGTTGTGAGCGTTCAAAGTTTGCATGCTTAAGCATGGAGACATAGTGCCAGTTGATAAGCTCAGCTGCCCGCAATGGCAACAAGGGTCCCCGTGGCGTAATGGTAGTGCTCTCCCTCTCCAGGTGAGCGATAAGGGTTTACTTCCCGCTGTCGTTTTTGCTTTTGCAAAACATACTTTCATCCGGATGAATGCTCCCAAACCGTTTTTTCTCACTAATTTGAGTTGACGTCTTGATTCGGCAATCATTGATCACCTATCCATCTCCTATCACCGCACGTATTCAAAATCTGTTGAGGTGGAGGGGGAAACCCAAATCACGCAAGACAGATATGCATGAAAAACTGAATATTGATGAAACTATCCAAGAAATGAGTGAAGCAGATATGTCGTTCACAAAATGCTAACCTCATTTGTACATGCGGTCTCTCTATAACCATCACCAACTGCACGTTTTCTCTACCCATTTCTTGGGTCGTTTCATCGATGCTGACTTTTCTCGCGTGTCCAAAACTATTTTACTTTGGGTGTGGGTATGTGTGTTTCGATGTTGAAAATGAAAGAGCGTTACAAAAATGTCGTGTGGAAGTTTTAAATAAGTGCGGTGATAGGTGATAGATAGGTGATTCAAATGATTGCCGAAACAAAGCGCTAACCTAAATTAGTAAGGAAAAAGTATTAGGAGCTTTTATTGGGATGAAAGCACGTTTTGCAGAAACAGAAGCGACGACGGGAAGCAAACCTTCATCGCTCACCTGAGAGGGAGAGCACTGTCACTACGCCACGTGGGCCCTTGTAGCCCTTGCGGGCACCTGGGCTTATCAACTGACACTATGTCCCCATGCTTAAGCATGCAAACTTTGAACGCTCACAACTTTTTTGGTAGATTCATTTTGCAGTTTTAATTTCCGTATTTCTTATTAACTTTCAAAGCCCTATCGATATACCTAGGTCTCCATTCAAAGTTCCATGGGAAGTGGAAACCCTTCCCTGGTAAGTGCTGGTGATGACTTCATAGGTAATGGTTAATGATTATGACTCATATATAAACGACTTTGAAATGTTAAGGACTCTGTGCATGTTGTGAATTTTTGATCTTAGCCCCGCCCGTCCCAGTGAAATACCCGCCCACTTCAGTAATCTAGCCATACTCCTTTTACTACCTCCCACTACTTTTCCCACGTTTTAGAAAGTTTTCGACCAGAGCTATGAACTTTTGACCCTAGCCCTGCCTACCTTATGTAAGCCCCGCCCACTTCAAAAATTCGGGCAGATAACTTTCCTTACTTCCAACCACTATTTCCACCGTTTTTGAACTTTTTTGAACAGTCTTGAATTTCTGCCTAACTCACTTCATGGATATGACCACATTTCTTCTATGATCTCTAACCACCTATTTTCCACGTTAGAGAACGCTTTTAATCGTTGTCATGAATCGTGTGTTGAGCTTCGATGTTATGTTATAAGGCCTTGCTTATTTCTTTTATTTTTTTCTGGCTTCCATTCTTCCGCTGGATCGAGTAATGAACCTATATGGTAGGTGCCACCCACTTCGAGAATGTTCTGCCCACCGTTGCTTGGTTTCCCTCATTTCATGTTAACCTATCCCCCATTTTTTGCTTATTCTTTTCCTGCGTCTGGGCTGTTATGAAACTAATCAAGGGGTTTTGCCTATGGTACCGCCCACTCTTGTGCATGCTGCTCCACTGACACACGAAGCTCCGCTGAGCTCACACGTGCTTTTTTGGTCTTTCCCTATGCCCAGCCCATCCCACACTTGACCTGACTTGTGGAGGTGCTTCTCCAAAAAGGTAACATCGAATTTCCTTGCAAACAATTAGACTGGCAGACATACGCAAGCGCGTTACATGTAGTATGATGAGCTGGTCGTTTAAACCTAGGATGCCTCTTTTGTATAATATTATTACTCATAATATGCATATAGTGTTCTACACATTCCATGCCTTTGTATTCGAATATCTATTTCAAGTTTCTACTGGATAATTTAGGGCTAATATTGAAGGCAAATCGCGTAGTCAGTGATGGCCAATTTGCATGTTTAAAGTGCTCTTCTGCGCAGATAGGTGCTGTCATTGCGATGGCAGAATCATCCATATAACATAATATCAGTCAATGAACACATTCTCATTAAGGTTTGCAAAACGCTGGAACGAATGCTTTTATGTCAACTCTGCAACAACTTTCGGGCCTTTCAGCCCCTCTTCTACCGGGATCAGCTCTCAGCAATGCACAATGGGCAAGCTCGCAGTCTTCGAGTCAGACCTGGATCGATACGGTGACGATTTTTAGAATTTTTCACGCGGTTGCCACCAATGGCTTATTTGCCTATTTACTGATCTGCGAGAATTCTAGCTGCAGTTATTGCTAGCTCTCTTGATAGGTGGGAAAGGTTGGTTCTGGAGCTCAAACGGTTTAACTTTGAATGTGAAGGTGCCACTTTGTGATAACTTTGCACATCTCTCTCAATGTTAGTGCAAAGAATAGCGAAATTTGAAACGAGTGTATGTAAAGGTGTTGTGTGAGATATGCGACAAAACGCAAACGCCATTCAATTGTGTCCCTTATGGCAATCCCGTCGGTAAGCAGCTGTTCGACCCGCCCTTTTGCAGCCCTTTTGTTTTGAGACTAAAACTTTTATTTCACTTAACACCTCAACAAGCATTTCCTGTGTTCGACTACTCGATTTGATCAACCAACCCCTTAGTTAATAACTGTTGGTGTAATTAAAGTTGTTTAGTCATATGGGACCTGAAGGTCACAACTTGATCATTAAGACTGTTTTCGTGTGAATGTGAGTCATTTAACCGTACCTGGTTTGAGAAGGAACTGAGGCAGCAACCAGTGTGCATTGCGATGCTTTTTAATTTTGAATGATTCTAGTTTATTAATCACGAAATCACTACAGCAAAAACATGAAATAGGTAGATGAGATTGGCCTTCTTTAGCCACGACCTCTATACTTGGATTGGAAATGATAGTAATGCGCAGAACATCCGTTCATCTGCTGTAATTTCCGAAGAAGTAATATACGGGGACATTGCCCACATGTGTTGTTAAACAAGGCCCATCTCCAACCTTCTTGTTAAGGCTCTCAAGCGCGGAAGAGGTATATACAGGATCGGTTAAAATAAGCCTCGGAGCAAAATTCTTGACACCCAAGTGTCCACAAGCTTTACAAGATAAAGATACTTGGTCACAGTGGCCTTTCAAGATGGAACATATACACCGCTGGTGGTTTTGAACGCTGATCACAAACCTGGGTTAAAACTACTAGACGTTTCTGGGAACAAAGTTACGGGACCATTTTTCCCTGTGTTATGCCACTGTAATGAACAGATCATCGAATTTAGTGAAGCCGCAGATTTGTAACGGTGGCGCAGCTGGTAGGATGCTGTACTGGTCGGCATGACATCAAGGTTCGACTCTTTGATGCATGCGCTCGTTTTGCTTTTCCATGAAATGCGTTCTAATCACTTGCAAAACATTTTTGGGCTCAGTATTGACCATTGACCTAACTCACATTTTAGGAACACCGAGAAGGTATTATTGGAGAAGTTTTTCCGCCCCTCACCGGCCGAATAAGGGTGGAGCTCCATTCGAGCACCAGAGGAATCCTAAGTATTTGCTCAGAATAGGCTTCAAAGGCTTGAGGAAAAGGTGCCAAATGATTTTCCGAATAAAACGTTCTTCAAATTCTGTCCGAAGGTGGGGTCATCGTCTTTGTTGGAGGACCTTAATTCTTGCAGCATAACGTAAAGTGCTTTTGAAGCATACCTTTCGATGATATATGAACAAGCTCGCTAGAGGACGAGTGCGTGAAGGGGCGATCACAATGGTTCTCTGCGGTCGCATGACGATGGACACACCACATCGCGAGAGGAACTTTGCACGGTGCGGTGAAATAAAGGTCCCAGAGTGAAACGTAACCTCCAATGTTGTGATGTGGCCCTTGAGCTGCTATTTTATGCCGCTGGTAGAAAAAGCCATAGCCTTCATAGTTTGAGTGCCAAAAGAATCTGTACTTCCTCGTACATGGAAAAAAGTTTTGTTTTATCTGGCCGAGTGTACGGAAATTATTGGTAAGTGAGAAACCGTGAACTTTCGAATTGGTCTATTTTCGACTACCGATCTGCCTCCGGAGATTAATGGATAATTTGGAAGTATAGGTTATCATGAAATTAGTATTGGAATCTCATTCTATGACAGTAATTTCCACTGGACGACGCTTCAAATCAACAGCGAATTCTTCATAGAGGCCATCATAAAGCAACTTGTAGATGGGTTCAGGGTTTTTAGTCCAGCCATAATATCATGTCTCACCGTATTCCCCCGTTTACCTCGAAAAGGGATTCTTGACAGTTACTGGATATCATATGCTCATGGCACGGCATTCACTTCCACTGGATGACGCTTATAATTAACATGGAGTCCTCATGGAAGCAAACTTCGAAGCGGTTATCACCAGAAAGAGTTTCCTGTCAATTAGTGGTCACCACATGAGTATGAATCGATCAACTATTGTTCCACAGTGTTTTTTCCAATGTTAGTCAACTTGGTCCAACGCTTCAAAAGTGCCTCGAAAGGACAGTATTCCTCGAATGTGGAACCATATCCCTCCCATAGAGGGCTTTGGTAGATGAGTTATTCGACTGCTCTCTACCGTCAGGGCAAGGAGCTGCCAAAAGCCCTATCTTGCGTGCTTAGGGAAAAGAGGCGTATCCATTTGGTCGGTGATGGTAAAAAAAATTCTACTTGAATGCTATTTCCAGTTATCCTAAAATGGGAGGGAGCTCCGCAGATGGCCAATGTTGTGCCCTAAGACGTTGTGCTCTTACGGTTTACTCGGTTCGTAATCTGTTCGGTACAGTGGTAAAACTTAGGGAGGATTTGTTCCCGTAACTTTGTTCCCAGAATCGTGCAGCATAATTGGAACACAAGTTTGAGATCAGCGTTCGGAACTACCTTCGGCGATACGCATCTCATCTTGAATGGCCACTGAGACCGAGTGTCCTTCCCTTGTTAGTCCAAACATTGCCAGAAGCTCGAATCAAGCCCGTTGCTCAAGCCCAAGGTGTACCACATTCACTGACGACAAAGGAAGTTGTTAGGCGAAAGTAATTATTTCATTTCTTTCGCTATTAATTAGTTACGCAGGCAATTTTCCTAGCAATCTGCATAGTTAACGGGATGAGAGTCTTCATAGTTACAAGATGGTGATGGCATACTTATTGTGATTTGCGTGCAGCAAGCAAAAGGTCGAAAGGAGGAATGTAGTAACGGATAGTAGCGATCTGTAAACGGTAGCCCCATAAACTTTAACGGCAAGCTTTGCCTTTCGAATCATTTCTCTCGGAAATACTTTCCCACAACGATGGAGGAGTTGCCAGCCTGTGAAGAGATGAAATGGAATCGTTCTGAGATTCGACCATGGAATTCCCTTCATTCAAAATCGCAGCGATGTTTAAAACCATATTTGGCGTGCTCGCACAGACGAAACGATGTAAATGTCACCCTTCTTATACGATGTAAACGTGAGTCTTTTTCGTGTATATATCTCCATCAAACCCGAAGGAATGGGAGGCGTGGTTGGTTTGGACGAGTCCTTGTCCGTAATTTGATCCTGGAACTTTGCCTGCTCTAATGACATCATGATTACTACTCCACTTCCACTCCAACACGTGTAGATGGATGTGAAACATATGTAGATCGTTAGGTATCCTATCCTACTTACTGTAAAGCGCTTCGTCTGTCGTCCGTCGTCTGTCGTCTGTATGACTGTCACGTAATTCCTTAGCTCCTTTAGGTCTGCCTGAGTAGACCGGGTCAAGCGTGGGATGGGTGGTCCATGTCCCAAGAAGTATAAAGCACCCATCAGCTTGGCAGAGCCCCGCCCACAGTGGGCGTGGCTTGCATCGTAATGAGCTGTACTGGAGACTATGATTTCAAATTCAGTCGCAAGACGGCTTCAAAACTGTGGTTTAAAGGTGGATAGAGATGTTCATTGGTGAGCTAGATCGAACTGGGGAGACCCACCCCCGATGGGCGGAGCGTTTTCCAAAAATGCAATGCTTTACGAAAACATTTATAACTCGGTTTAGAGAAAGCCAACAGAGCAGGAAAAAGTTGATGTAGGAGAAGCATTGTGAAGGTGTCTCTAGCGTAAATGACATCAGCGGAGGCCCGCCCACAATGGGCGGAGCGTGCCTCGAAGCTCGCA